GAAAAGGACAACAAACAAAACCTAACCAACAAAACTAAAAGCCGTTAAGGAAAACTAGAAAAAGAAACCCCACGGGCCCACGGGTAAACGTGGGGTAATAATTCCAAACTGAAACAGAAGGGGGGAGGGTATTCTCCAGCGACCCACCATCCTGTTATATGAAACAGGGCAAGCCCACTTCTCAAGCCGGTAAAGCCACCAGTTCACCCACCTTGGGGAGGGTGGACCATCGTGATTTGCCGAAAAATTTCATTTTTCGCTGTGAAAGTTCCAGCGTGGAAAGAGGGAAAAACCCGACGGGAGGGCCCAGACCTACCCTACCGACCCCGGCAAGCTGTCCGCCCAAGCAAAAAAAGAATACACCGGAGTCGCCCTCTTGTCCCTGGATTCCTTCGGACCACTAACCACTCTACCTATCCCATCCATTACCGTGCCCCATGTTCAAGTGCGGCCGTTTCACCGCGCGTTGGTCGCCTCTCGCACCGCCACCTGCATCGCGGTGAGGGGCAGGCGCTCGCCGTCGCGCCCCCCTCGGCGTGGGGGGTGGTACATAGCCCGTTGCCGCCATTCTCGCCCTCGTGGCCGCTCGTTCGCATTGTGTCGGGGCGGGGAGGGCTCCCGACGCCGCCGCCCTGAACCGCCGCCACTGTTCGACGCTGGGTAGGTTCTTGCCCGCCGTGGTGAGCGCCGCGGCGACGTCGAGCGCCTGTTTGACTGCTCCCTTGTAGGCGCTGTTGCCGCCGCCTCGAGCATTTTTTGTGTTTTTTGAGCTAGCCCTTGGTAAAGCGCCGCTGGGTGGCGCCAGCCCGCTGCCAAAGCATTCGAACCCTGCTTGCCCACGGCGGTGGTAGTGGCATGACCGCCGCCGAGCCACCGCCGGCGGGAGACGAGGCTCCGCAGGACCCGGCCGGCGTGCTCGTGCTGCTCGTGCTCGGCCTGCAGGGGATGGGCACTCTCTTCGCCTTCAACACCATCATCACGCCGCTCAAGTACTACGAGCTCCGCTTCGCCGCGTCTCCCTTCTCCTCCTCCTTCGAGTCCATGCTGAGCATCACCTTCAACGCCGTTGCGCTCGCCTCCATCGTCGCCTTCCAGCGGCTGCAGCACGTGATCCGGCTCCGCACGACCATCTTCGCCACCCTCGCGTGCGAGCTGGTCGTCTTTGCGACGCTCACCGTGTACACGCTCTCTCCGCTCCGCCGGCCCGCCGACGAGCTCCACGCCTTCCTCGAGGCGAGCTCCACCGCCAGCTTCACCGTCACGCTCTGCTGCACCGCGCTCGCCGCCGCCGCCACGGGCCTCCTCAACGGGTCGGTCGTCGCGTACTGCGCGATGTTTCCGGCGCGGTACACGCAGGTCGCGGTGGGCGGGATGGCCCTCGCCGGCCTCGCCGTCTCCGTCGCCGGCCTCGCCACCACCGTCCCCACGCAGAATCAGCTCGTCGCGGCGGGTGGCGCAGGCGCTACACTCTTCCCGAGACTTCCCACGCCGCCTCGGCCGCCCTGCCACCCGAGGCCACATCCCCAACACGCCCTGGACATGTCCCACACACCGCCACGCCCGACTAGAGGGCGCAAGCTTCGTCGCACACCTCTCACCGTCAGCCCCCCTTTGCCAGGCAGCGAGCGCGATGCGATCGCCGCTGCGGGCGCGCGCTAGATGAGTCGCGCCGTCGCTCTGCTCCACTCTCAAGGACACGTGCCCACCTAAGCGCAGCGGTATGCAGCGGTGCTCAGCGGCGTCCCGCTGTCTTTGCGGTCCGCGGGTTCGCGAGGCTCCGAAAGCACCGCACGAGACCGCACTCCCGCCCCTGACCTCACGCACGCAAGCCAGGCGCATACTACGGCGTGGCGGTGGCGGTGTTCGCGGCGTGCCTCGCCTCCTTCGCCTGGGCCGACGCCACGCCCTTCGCGCGCCACGTGCAGGCGAAGCACGCCCTCGCCTCGTGCAGCAGTCAGAGCGGGCCGCCGGGCGGGGCAATTGGGGCTGTTGGCGGGGCTACGCGCGGGGGGAGGGGGGGGGAGGGGAGGGGAGGCGGTGGCTACGTGGCGGGGAGGGCGGTGGGAGAGGGCGCGGCGGGCGGCGGCGGCTGCTGCGTCGGGCCGCGGGCGGTTGCGGCCGAGGGACCGACTGTTGCCTTGACCAGCGGTTTGGCGGTCTAGATGCGGAACAGTGTAGATGCGGAGCAGTGTAGATGCGGAACAGTGTAGATGCGGAACAGTGTAGATGCGGAACAGTGTAGATGCGGAACAGTGTAGATGCGGAACAGTGTAGATGCGGAACAGTGTAGATGCGGAACAGTGTAGATGCGGAACAGTGTAGATGCGGAACAGTGTAGATGCGGAACAGTGTAGATGCGGAACAGTGTAGATGCGGAACAGTGTAGATGCGGAACAGTGTAGATGCGGAACAGTGTAGATGCGGAACAGTGTAGATGCGGAACAGTGTAGATGCGGAACAGTGTAGATGCGGAACAGTGTAGATGCGGAACAGTGTAGATGCGGAACAGTGTAGATGCGGAACCCGGACGCATGGCTGACACGTGCGCTCGAGAGGACACGTGTGCCTGCACTGCCGGCTGCACTGCAGCTCTTCCGCGGGATTCGTCTTCGCGCGGTGCTCCGAGCGCACGGCGCGAGACCTCTGCCTCCTGGCCGCTGACAGGGCCCCTCCCCGACGCAGGCCTGGCTAGCCACGCGGCGGCCATCGAGGGGCGAGGGGGCGACCTCGAGGAGCGGCTCGGCGGCCCAGAAGGCGCTGCGGCGGCGGCGGCGGCGCGGCGCGAGGTGTGGAGCACGCTCTTTGCGGTTCGGTGGCACGCCGGCACTCTGGTGGCCAACTACGCGGCCCGCGCAGCAGCGGCAAGAGTCGCGGAGCTGGGGCGAGATCAGGCCGAGAGGAGGCGAGGGGCTGGTGAGAGTAGGTGACGCTAGGGGTCTTCCCCGCCATCAGCGGCATGGTCACCTCCACGGCGCCCTCCCCCGCGTGGCGCGGCCTCTTCCCCGCCGTCCTGTTTGTCGTCTTCAACCTGGGTGTGGCCCGCGCCCCTACCCCTACCCTTGCCGCCACTGCGTCCGCCATCAGCAGCTCGAGCACGCCACCCTTACCCCCCGCAGCCCTGCCTCGTACCCCGCCCGCCCTCGAGTTTGCTGGTCTGGTCTTTGGCCCCCTAGCCCTCACCCCGCCCTTTGCCTCACCCATCACCCTCAGGCGACATGGCGGCCCGGCTCGCGCCGCCGTCCTGCCACCTCGTGCGCGGCCGCTCCACCCTCGCGCTGGCGCTGTCGCGGATCGCCCTCATCCCCCTCTTCATGGTCTGCCACATGCGCCCCGGAGACAGTGCCGTCCCGACGCTGCTGCCTTCCGAGAGGGGGCGCTTTTTTTTTTTTGCCCTCTCGCCCTCCTCAAAAGGTTGGGGAGCCCCCCCCCCCCCCCCCACCCCACCCCCCACCCCTTCTTTCCGTTCAAGCCCCTCAAGATTTGCCCAACCCCCGGGCCCGCCCGCCCGACCCCGATCCCCTCGGGGGGCCTCACCCGGATTTGCGCTTTGTCCCCGAAGCCCCCCCCCCCCCCCCTGCTGTACCCCGCGCGGCTGCAGGCTTCCTCACCGCGTGCCCGCTCATCTACGGGCCGCTCTCCGTGCCGCCGCCCGAGCAGAAGCAGGCCGCCTCGCTGCTCGTCCTCGCGCTCAACGTCGGGCTCACCCTCGGCTCGCTCCTCTCCTTCCTACTGCACGGGCTCGTCTGCAGTTGCAACCCGTTTGTGAACTGACGTGTATAAATTTTGATTCCCGCGTCGGCGGCCTGTTCAAGGCCTGCGAGCTCCGTGGGGACACTCAGCCTTATACGGCTCTATGCATGTGCATTACGGTGTGCCGTGTGCGCAAGTGTGTCTGGTATTTGCCTTTGCTAGAAAGTTCCATTATACGGAGATCGGACCGAAACCGGCAAAAATAGAGATTAGAGTAGGGTTGCCTAACGCGTTGGGAGCTGTGAGGGACAGCGTGACGCTACATGCTACGATGCTAGTGTTAACGGCAACAACAGTGGGGCTCCCACCCAACAACAGTAGCTAACGTTAGGCCGGAACAACAGTAAGGGAAGGCCTGGCAGTGACCCACCAGACGATCTCTAGTGTCTCCAGTGCGGGTAATACCCGAAAATACCCGGAAACCCCCGGGTATTTTCGGGTTTTACCCGGATTTTTTGCCATTTTTTGCTTGCTGGCCGCTGAACAACAGTAACAACAGTAACAAACAGTAACAAACAGTAACAGCATGGGCTGGGGTGAACACACTTGAACAACGTTGAGGATTTCAGCCAACAATAGCGCAACTGTTAGGCCCCAAATTTGCCTTTGCTAGTTCCATTTCGGACCGAAACGCGTGTGGTGTGTTTGGTGCCAATAGAGCAAGTACGGCTTTAGCGATCTAACACCAGATTTGCCCCCGCGGGACCCGGGAGACGCGGGAGCCCGGGAGATCCGCGACGCACATGCGTCTCCCGCGATTTTTGTGACGCTGCTGCTGCTGCTGCTCTTACGTCTTCGGTCCCCGCGGGAAGCCCCGCGCATAGGACAACAACGTCTGTCCCACACACGCGCAGACGCGCACATACATCATGCTCGGGCACCCCCCACAGTGTAGTGGTGTGAGCTCACAAGTACTAGGGGCCCGTACCATGCGGAATCGACCCTATCAAGTGCTCAAGAGTCAAGTGCTCAAGTACTAGCAGAGTGCACACGCCACACCTGCCTTGGCGGGTAAGGGTCGTAAGAATCAAAGCCTCTTGGTGCCAAACGTGCTCGAGCGCGCCGAAGAGAGACGATCTAGGCTCGAGGGAGTTAGCGAAAGTCGCACGGGCAGAGGGGAGACCGAGGCCTCCGGCAGTCCGCACCGCCTCGCGAAAGGGAAGCAACGATCAACTCCAGCTAAGACTTGGGTGCGCCGAGCGCCGGCGCGTAGGTCGCGACCGACGCGCAGCGCGGGCACGTCGCGAGCACAGGAGCGCCGCGGGTGCCGTGCCACTAACCTGGTTGTGCCGGGCAGGGCAGTTTTTGTTTGTGACGCGGAAGCTGTTTTCTTTTGTGGGTCGGTCCTGTTGGCACCCTACCCTCCTACGCGGACTTAAAAGAAAATAGAAAAGAAATCGCAGGAAGAACAAAACGAAAAGAAGATGCAACGGCTGTGGATCTCCGAAAATAGATTACTCGGCCAAAAACTCGCGCGTCCCATCGTCCAGAACGAAGGGGATCCCCACATGCTGCCGCTATGCGCGGCGCCCCTGGCATCTGAGAGCGCTGCCTGCGACCTCGCCTCAAAGGTCTTCCGCGACCCTCACATAAACTTTGCGTATGGAGGCTCCGCCGACCTCCGCGAGGCGCGCAGCTATCCAGTAGGGCCAAACTCCGGCTGTCTCTCATACCTTGGCCATAAGCTCGGCACCACAGCACGTGCTCATCCACAAAACGATCTCACCCCCTCGCAGGTTGCGTGCGCAACGTACACGGTTGCGGATTTCGAGGGGACGGGCGACACCCCGATCTCAATCGCGTGCGAGGGTGTTGGCCGCTACGTCGTCGTGACGTTGCCAGGAACATTCAGCAACCCAGTCGAGTGTCCGGCGGGAGTCCCCACAGGCGTCGGAGTCCCTTCGCTTTCCCTGACGACGGCGCCGTGCCTCGATGGACGTTGGGGTCGTGACATCACTGCCAGCTCACAAACAACCAGCTTGGGCCGTTCGATGGCGTTGCGTGAGATCAACGTCTTTGCCCTCCAGAATCAGGACGGCACGCCCTGCTTTGAGTGAGGGCGCCGTTCCGCCGCAGCAAGCGCACGGCAGCGCCTCGACGCCCTCGAGGGCAGCGCGCAGGCATCACACACGCACACACGCACACACGCACACACACGCACGCCGCGCACGACGCGACGCACGTGGCGCGAAAATTCATTTCCTACATGAATCAACTCTTTTCGATAAAATTCTTGTACCTGTGTTAGAGCCAGTGCGCGCCAGTAAAAATAAATGCACCAAACAGGCACCAAACACATCTCCACGATACAAACACACGCACACGCCACACCGCCGTCCTCTCCGGCTCCCTCCGCGTCAGGCGTTGACCCTGGGGCACTGGCCCTCCCTCTGGTCTCCTCTCCTGAACCTGATTAAGCGAAGACTTGCCCAGTGGCACTGCTGCCCAGTCTCTTGCCTAAAAGGCTCAGCACACTGTCACGCGCGGTCTTTCTGCCCCTCCTGCCACTGCCGGATCATCCGGCGGAGCGAGTAGTTGGGGAAGAGGCCAGTGTTCTCGAGCGCCTCGCCTGTCAATGGGCTCGTCGACTTTGTCGCGAGCCAGCGCTCGATCGCCGACCGCTCGTACGACTGCCCGTCCGCCGCCATCACCGGCTCGCTCATGACCTCTGTCGTGATTGGGCAGAAGAAATCGTCCGGCGGCTCCTCTGGCTCCGGCTCGCCCGGCTTGCACGCCTGCTCCGTCGCCCGTCTCTCCCCCTCCAGCCTCGCGCTCACCTCGAGCGCCGCCGCAAGCTCCTCCTCTGCCGCCGCCTCGTCCTCAGCCGCCTCGGCCGGAGCGTTGGCCTCGTGCGACAGCGGCCCAGCCGTGCCGCTCTCTCCGACCTCCCCCTTCCTCCTCCTCCTCCTCGTCCTCTTCTTCTTCTTCTGGCTCTCCTCCGCCTGCGCCTCCGCCTGCGCCTGCGCCTCGACCAGCATCGCGTCGGCATGCCGCGCGGCCTCCGCCTCTGCCTCTGCCCTCCGCGCTAATTTCGCCTCTGCGCGCCGATCCAATGGCTGGTCGAGAGCCTCCATGAGACCGCGGCCCTTTGCCGCCGTCTTAGCCGCCGCATGTTCCTCGAGGGCACGCATACACTCGGCGTGACCGAACCCCTTTGCCAGCTGGAGCGCCGTAGCGCCGGTTACTCTTTCGCGCATTTTGGAGTCTGCACCCGCGCGCAGCAAGCGGATTATGATTGCCGGGTTATTGTTGTGATGGGCGGCGATCGTCAGTGCGGTGCGGCCGATACCGTCCCGCTTATTTGTCTCCGCTCCGCGCTTCAGCAACAGCTCGACCACCCGTTCGTGGCCGTGCAACACGGCTAGCATCAGCGCGGTGTTGCCATTGCTGGCCTGGAGGTTGGTCTCCGCGCCATGCTGAAGCAGCAGATCGACCACCCGCTCGTGGCCTTGCTCGGCAGCGTACATCAGCAGGGTGGTCTTACTCACAAAGCACCCAATCTCTGACCAAAGCTTGAACGCTCCATTGGTCTTGCCGCCGCCCCTCTCCAGCCACGCCCGAACTGCCACCTCGTCACCTCCACCAACTGCGTTGATGATCTCGCGGGACAGCTCGGCGCTGGACATGAAACACATGGTTGCGGCGAGCGGCGCGACACCACTCTGACACGACGCGTGCGACCTCGGTCCGGCCGGCGCTTTGCAATCGCCCCCCCTCCCGCGGCGCGCTCGTACACACCTGTGGAGGAGAAGAATTTCGGATACTGGCTGTTACCTTTACCCCGGAACGAAATTCTTTTATCTTCGTTCCCCCCCCCCCCCCCCCCGGGGTCCGGGTCCTACCGGGGACCCCGCCTCTTCCGTTTGCGGGCGAGCACCCCCTTCGCCACGTGTGGGCACCGCATGCGAAGCAAATCGCGCCGTGCGTCGCCGTGCGCGCGTGTGAGCGCCCCTGAGCAACCCACCCCACCCCACACGCCCACCGGCGCACCCTCGGCCCGCACACGCGCCCTGGCGACCCACAGACCTCCCTCGCCGCCGCGCGTTCGACGTGCTGCCGAGACTGCTCCGGCGGCATGACAGCCCCTGCTGCTTCCTGTCGCAGGAAGAGCCGCGTACAGCGCTGATCGTGCGTCCACAGAGCCAGCTTCGCGCGATGCCGTCCTTCCGGGCGACGACGCGCGCCTTCTGCAGGGCACACGGTGCGGCGCTGCGCTGTCGCGAGCGCGTCGCCGGCATTCACTCAGATTCGCCGAGCGCTGCGCGGCTGGCTGACGCCGCTCGCTCAGGCGGGCGCGGCTTGCCATCCCTCGGCGCCGGCGACATAAATCCGTACAACGTGGCCGGACAAGGCCACAAAGCTTCCACCGGCGGGTGCAGCGCCTCTGTGAGAGGCGCCGGTGATCCTAGCTAGCTGCCCTGCTGCTGCGATCGCCGCTGCCGCTGCAATAGCCGCAGGCGCAGGCACGACGACCATTATTGGACCATCCACCGGTGCGGCGAACATGTGTCTCGGTGCCCTCCCGCTCGTCTTGTTCATACTCCATCGCCAGGCGCACTTCCGTCCTGACGCTCCCGCTGCTCGCGGCGCGGCGCCGCGGTGCGCAGGCGCGCGCGTGGCCACAGCTGAGAAGCCGCGACTGCTCGACGGCGCGCGCCGTACTGCGCCTTTGGGGCGCGACGGTCGTCGAGCCGCGTGACACGCTCTCCCACGCCGGCCGCAGCGACCCGGAGCGGCGGCGGCGACGAGGGTGAGGGCGAGGGCGAGGGCGCTCTCGGCTCGGCTAGAGCGGCCGAGAGGCAGTGCGGTCGCGCCTTTTACCGCGACCGCCGCGCCGCCACAGCGGGCGAGCTCGCGCGGGTGTGGCGGGGGCGAGGGGTGCCACGTGGCGGCCGTCAGCGTCAGTCTGTGTGTCGGGGCGCGTTCGCCCGCGTACGGCTCAGACAGGCGTCGGTCGCCGCCTCCGCTGCACGCGGGGCGTTGCGCTGCGCGAGGGCCGCCTGCAAATTGCTAGCCATGCGCTTCGTTGTTTACGGCGGCAATGGGTCACGCTCACGCCTCACGGGTGTGGGGCACGCTCACACGGGTGTGCACTCTCGCTACCATTTTTCACATCTGCTGGTTGGACTAACGGCGTATTCTGTCTCATAAAAAGTCTGCTCCTTGGTCAGAAGGAGCCAACTCTGCCTTAAACTTTGATTGCTAGAGGGATTGCCGGCCGGAAAGCTAGCTCAAACACGGAAGAAAAACGGCTTCGCGGGCACTTTGTGCACAGGCGTTTCGCGGACGGACCGCGCGAATCGGTGGCTGTGTTTGCAATCGGTCGCCGGCGCTGTTTGTGGGCCCGCATGAGCAATTCTCGCCGACGCTCCGGTGCGAGTGCGTCCAACGACACGCCCATGGTGCGCACACGCGCGGCTCAGCCGCGCACAGACCTGCCATCGCCTCTGCACGCTCGACGTGCTGCCGAGACCGCGCCAGCAACATGACAGCCCCTGTTGCTTCCTGTTGCAGGAAGAGCCGGTGCGTACCGTGCTGGTCGTGAGCCCACAGAGTCAACTTCACGTGCTGCAGTCTGACAGGAAGTCAACGCTCAACTTCTGCACGGAATATAAGCAGCGGCATAACTACTTTCGGAAGATGGCAGTGCACGAGACCCAAGAGAATGCATCGCTCTGGGTGCTCCTGTCAAGGGCCAGGTGGATTCGGAACGAGAAGTACGGCGCGGTCGTCGCGGTCGCTGGGCCAAAGGCGCTGTTTGATCACCAAGAGACCATTTGTCTCACCTCTGGCCTGCCGGTGGCGTCGATGAGGTTTGGCGACCAAAGCAACGTGGGCCACCTTCTCAACTCGGTGCCTCGCGAGCATCTGTGCACCCGTCATCTCGCAAATGTTTTCACGGCAACCGTGGCACTGTAGGAAGGGATCGGCGACCGCGGCCGGGGAGGCCTCGGTGGCTGGGTCGCCATGAAGCAGCCCGAATGGGCAGAGCGGCTCTCGGCGGCAGATGGGCTGACCCCGTGCGACAAGTGCGGCCACCCAACGATGGTGCTCGTCTTCGATGAGTCGGGTTGCGTATGGAGGGACTCGCCCGCAGCCGAGGCCTGGAATCTAGCGCCAAATGCCGATGTGTCGCTCAACGAGGGGTCGGTCGACCGTGAGATTGACCCGCTCACCGGCCAGCAGCTCGAGAACTACTTGGAAGCCGACGAGGTGATGGAAGAGGCGGGCGAGGAGCAGGACTCCCACGACGGCACCGAGCCCTCAGGCTTCTACCAGGAACTTCTCGAGGTGCCTCCTCGCTGCATCTCCCCCTTGCTTTTTTGCCTGCGCTCACTCTGTGCTGCCCTCTTGCAGGCAGTTGAAGAGCTGCCGCAGAACGGCGAGGGCGAGGAGGCGCTCTTGTCCACATTTCCTGTCGACTCGCTGAGTCCCCTCGCCGCCGTCTCCCGCTCCAAGATGGAGCTGATGTCCGATTGGTCATTCCGGGTTTGGCGGCAGGGGCTGCCTCGCGAGCTCGCCCTTCGCGCCGTGCTTGGGCCGCAGATGCGTGCCGAGCTTGATCGGGTTTGGTCCCAGGTGCGGCCGCTCTTTGCTGCGACCGGCTGCAACCCGTTGCAGTTGATGTCCTACATGGAGCGCCAATTCCCGTACGAGTACAATTTGCTCGCCCACGCGGCCACCGGCGTCGAGCGCCACCATCTCGTGCAAAGCTGCATCGACTCGCCGCTGCCTGGCGACCACACGATGATGACCGAGCTGGCGGGACGCTTCACGGGACGCATCATCTTTGCGATAGCGGGCACGTCCTCGCGGAGGGAGCGAGAGGACCCGGACACTCTCTCGCCGACCTATGTGCAGAACCACGCGAATGGCGCCCTGATGCGCGAGATCTCGATGCTGCACTCCCTCCAGCCGCGTCTGCTCATGCCTCTGCAAAATGCCCTCGGAGTCGCCGTCCGCTCCGCCGTCAACATGAGCGAGCTGTCCCAGTACCTGCGCGGATTCCAAATCGTGCCGGACGAGGAGGTCTCGCGAAAGTTCCTGCTCCAGGTGCAGAATCTGGCCGAGATGAACCGCGTGCTGCGCCTCGCTCAGTGGGCGACGCAGGGGGACGGCTGGACGGTCAGGTTAGACAACTGCGACGTGGGAAAGCTGCTGCACTTTGTCGCGATGATCGCGACTCGAGACCATAAGCCACCGGCGGCGCCCTTCCCCTTCGTCTCCTCCGACCCCGTCATCCCAAAACCGTTCGCACAGGGCGCGCACGAGGCGTGCCCGGCCCCTGCCACCCGTCTGCTCCACGCGTTGCATCCACAACGCGTCCACACCGTACCCTCCGTAGGTGCCGCGTGCGCGCTCAGTTGCACGGCCGCCCTTCGAAGCTATCGGCTTCGAGCACTTTATGTCCTTCTCGGCGATGGAGATTGAGGCCGAAACCAATTGGCGCATCTTAATGGAGGTAGCAGCGCCCTCAAAGCCCAACGAGCGGCGCGACTTTATCACGGGGCAGCTCGAGGCGCGCGGCGCCAACCCGGCCGACTTTCTTCATAAGAGCTGGCAGCAGCTCAAGAAGGTGCTCCTCGCCTCGCTGACTGAGGAGCGATCCCCGGTCTCCGCCGCGCAGCCCGCCTCTACCCCGCCCGCCGCCGCGATCCCGCCCGCGACCACCCCAGCAGCGATGGAGGTCGAGGCGGACTTGGGAGGTGGCGGTGCGTGTGACGCGAGGCCGGCGATGGACGTGGAGATGGGAGACGGGGAGATGGGAGACGAGGAGGATGGGATGCAGGAGGAGGAGGAGGAGCAGGAGGAGGAGGAGGACGACGACGACGAGGGGGAAGACATGGAGTCGAGCTCGGAAGAGGAGGAGGAGGCGGCGCAGGTGCCGGCGCCGCAACCTTACTTTTGCTGCATGGACAACACCAAGTCGGGCGGCATCTGGTACTGCCCCGGCGGCTGCTTCCACTGCTTCCACAACTCGTGCAATGCTGAGTTTCGCGACGCGGACGGCTTGCTCCCTGACAAGAACAACAAAGTGTGCGTTGCTTGCCACAACAAGATGATAGCTGGCGAGCGTGGTTCGCGGCAGCATCGCATCCAGGCACTCTCAGCAATAACGGGAGAGGCGGAGGCGGCGGCGGAGGCGGCGGTGGCTGCGGAGGCGGCGGTGGCTGCGCCCTCGCAGGAGGCGGCGGCTGCGGCACAGGCGGAGGCGGCGGGGTGTGAGGAAGGTCAGGCGGTGGCGGTGGCGACGGCGGCGATGGAGGCGGCAGGGACGGAGGCTGCAGCACCTGGTGCAGCCCCATCCCTGCAGACGGCGCCAGCCCCGTCGCAATCTGACTCCATCGCCGCTGCCTCCGCCACCGCCGCCACCGCTGCCCTAGCTGCTGCCTCTTCCAGTGTCGCTGCACCCGCTGCTGCCGCTCAGAGCCGAGTCCTCGCACTGCCCGCTCTTGGCGAGCGCAACGCCTATCAGCGGAGCCGGACCGATAACTTTTTCGACCTCTACGCTCACTCGTCTTCCGAGGAGGGCGAGCTCCTCATCACCCCGGAGCTCGACGCGCCGCTGCACCAGTGGTTTCAGGCACGGCAGTACCTGTACAACTCCTCGGGGCTGCTTGACGCCGCCACCATCTCGTCGGCGATCGCCACCCTCAACGCGTTCCGTGATGCAGTGCGGAGAGGTCATCTCCAGGCGAGACTTGGGGCGCTTGATGAGGCGCAGCTGCACGCGGCTATCGATGAGGGGATGTGGCGGTTTGGATCGGCATTGAGCGTGCTTTCGACTCTGCTGAGCAACACCGACACGCACCACCTCTTTCTGCGGGTCACCTTCACGCCAACGTGCTCCAACTGCCATGAGCTCGCCCGCCCGCACTTGGTCCAGCCCTCTAACGACGAGTGGCGGCCGCTCATCTTGTTGACCACGCAGGAGCTGTATGCGGCAGGTGGCAACGTATTGGCAGCGCTGGACAGATCCTGCAGCACTGTGCGATCCACGCGCTCAAATATGCGCTGCGCGCAATGTGCGGGCACCCTTGAGCTAGTACCGCACACGAGCTGGCCTACGACACACGTCGGGGCGGGCCTGGCAGCGGCTGGAGGAGCCGCGAGCAACAGTGATAGTGGCGTCCCCGCACACAGCGATAGTGGCACCTTCCCTCGGCTCATTGCCCTCGAGCTCCCCGAGCGCGCGCCAGCCACCTTGCAGCACAGCCTCCCTCAGCAGCACTGCTTTGGCACTGGATCGGCCGCGGCAGCTTCGTTTCGACTCATCGCCGTCCTCTACTATCTGGACCAGTGTCACTTCATCGCCTACGTCCTTGACCCGCGCGAGCTCATCTGGCTCCGCTATGATGGCATGCACGCGAATGGTTGTGGCACGCCCATGGCCGCTCCACACGGCCGCATCCAGCACAACGGCGCCGAGTACTTTCCTGTCGCCGCAATCTATGTTAGGCGCGAGGAGGGCGATCGAGGCACGGCCGGCAGTGGTGCGACCGCTGCGGGCGCCTCGCCGCCGCCGCCGCGGCTGCTTCGCCAACGCAGACAGGCGAATGTGTGGAGCAGAAACTCATGTTACGTGGACTCGGCACTGGTAGTGTGGGAGCATATCGAGCGTTGGCTGGCTGTGGCGATGTGAGCTCCTTTTTTCTGCATGCGTACACAAAATGGCATCGTGTGCGCGAGCGTTTGCGGCGAAGCGCGCTCCTGACTCTCGTCTCTCGGGTTGCTCGCTCACGCACGAAACCTCAAACCACACCAATCACACACCGCGCAACGGGCTCACCAACCCTGCGAACGTGCTCGGCGTTTCTGCCCACGTTGCGGCCCGGGCTCGGGCTCGCTCGCTCGAGCGAGCTCCCGCTGTTGCCTCTCAGTCTCACGCGCCTGCTGCAGCCTCTCCAGCTCCCGTCGCTGCCGCCTAGCCTTTTTCTCCGCCCGCCTCTGTTCCCGCGCCCGCGCCCGCTTCTTCTCCTCCTCGCGGGCCATCTTCGCCTCCTCGGCCGCGATCTCGATCGCCCACAGCGACGTCGCCGCGACCTTCTCCGCGCGCCTCGCCACCTCCGCCTCCTCGCGGTCAGTCGCGCGCCTCAGCTCGAGGAGCGCCTCGTTGGGCACGCCTGCCTCGACGAGAGTCTGCGCGGAACCGTCGGCCCTGAACTCGCACAAGCGCTGTGTCGGTCCGTGCAGCGGCGCACTGCTCGGCCCGCCAGCGCGCCGCTCCTCAGGCCGGAGCCAGAGCTCGGGCCGGCGCCCGAGGAGGTCTGCGCGTCCCGGCATCACGGCTTTTACCTCGCCGACCGTGGTCATGATGCCGACGGGAAGGAAGAGCGTCTCGGCCCGCGAGACGTCGGGCCTGGTGATACGCACGACCCGCTGCCCGCGATCGCGGTACCCCTTGAGGATGGCGACGCGAGCGAGATCCTTGACGGAGAACACGACGCCAGCGCCGGGATGCGCTGAGCGGGGCAGCCCTTGGAGGTCGGCGTCGGTCAGGCCGTACTCGCTGCGGGCGCGGACGATGCCGAGCTGTGCGACGCCGGCGGGAACGAGCAACTCGAGTCCGAGAGGCGCAGAGGACGATGCCATGAGCTCCGCGCTGTCGTCGCTGGGCAGCGTGGCGACGACGCCACCAAGCCTTCGCAGATGGCGATAGTGGCGACGTCAGCGGTGTCGAGGACCAGCGGACACCTAGTGGGACGCCTGTGTGTCAGAGGAGCGCGTCCAGAGCGCGTCCACACCGCACAGGCACAAGTGTGCGTGCGTGCGGCCGAGTGGCGGCGCGCTCGCGCGCGCGCTGAGGGTGGTTGAGGTGAGATTGACCACCGAGCGCTCGCGAGCGGCCGCGGGGAGGGTCCGTCCACGGTCTCTGTCCTCTAGGAGTCGCGCGGGCGGCCAGGGAGCGCGTGGGAGGTCACCGCATGCGAAGCAAGTCGGCGCGGGGTGCTCGCCCGCAAGCGGTGGAGGCGCCAGACAGGGGGTCTTTCGACACTGACTCGCGCCAAAACGCACCTACCTACCTATCCATGGCGACCTGTGGCTCACAGAGTGGCCTCGAGGCGGAGCTTTTGTCCACAAAGGCAAGGCTCGCCGCAGTCGAGGCGGAGCTGGCCGATACGAAGCAGCAGCTGGCCGTGGCGCTCGCCAGCTCCTCCGCCGCCGCCGCCGCGCCACCTCCGCCGGCCGCCGCTGCGCCTGCTGCGCCTGCTGGGTCGGCCGCCCCGCTGGACCGCCCCGGCGCCCTGCTCGTCGAGCTTGCCAGCGATCTTTCCTTCCTCTCGCCTCGAGGCAAGTTTCGTCTATCGCTCAACGAAGGCGCCGCGGTCCTGCACGGCAAGTCGGCCGAGATCGCGGTGCCCTACCGGCTCGTTTCACGCGTTCTCGTGCTCCCCGAGGCCTCGGGACAGGGAAGCCTGTGCGTCGTCACGCTCGCCGCTCCCGTCGCCAACGGCAAGAGCCAGGTCGGGCACCTGCTCCTGCACTCCAAGCCGGCGGAGCCCAAAGTCGAGTGCAGCCTCTCGGGGAAGCCGCTGTGTGGCCAGCCCGCGTCGGTCGTCAGCCAGGCGTTCGCCTCGCTGGCGGCGGTCGAGGTGGGGGGCATCGGCAGCTTCAAGCCCTTCGGCGGCCGCGCCGCCCTGCAGTGCTACGTCAAGGCGACCGAGGCGGCCTTGTACCTGCTCGAGAAGGAGCTGCTCGTCAAGGAGGCGTCAAAGGTGCACGTGATGCCGTACAGCCGGCTGCGCGTCGAGGTGCTGCCGCCCGACAGCCGGCGCACCTTTGACCTGCAGCTCGAGTGCGCCGCCGCCGACGCGCCCGCCGGCGCGCCCGCCAAGACGGCCCTCAAGCTCGAGCTGTCGATGCTGCCGGCGAACGAGTGCGACCGCGTGAGCGAGCTCCTGCAGCGGAAGCGCGCAAACGTGAATGGGTCCCTCGACGGCGAGGCGGCGTCCGCAGGCGCGGTTGGCGGCGGCGCGGCGGGCGGCGGCGCCGGAGACGAGGAGGAGGAGGAGGACGACGACGACGACGACGACGAGGACAGCGACTTTGCCCCGTCGGAGGGGTCCGACGTCGAGGAGGAGTACGACTCGGACGGCGGCGATCCGGTCGAGGGGGGCGACGGGAGCGACGAGGGGGAGGAGGAGGACGACGACGAGGAGGAGGACGAGAACGAGGAGCCTGCCGGAGAGGCGGAGGACAGCCAGGCGCCTGCCAAGCGCATCAAGACGGAGGCGGTTGACGCGTGACCGCGCTGTCCTGCTGCCTCCATGTTGCCGCTACTGGACCTGCACCGGCTCCCGCGCTCACAAGATGCGCGAGAGGGGAGAGGTCGAGATCAGCGTGATCTCCTCTGTCGCGTGTCGGCTCTACCCTCTACGGGGCGGCGAGCAGGCGGCGAGGCGATGCACGATGGCCGATGGGTCCCTCTCCCCAAGAGAGATACTCGAGACTCTCTGAGACACCTCACTCCTCAGAGAGGGAGTGATGAGTGTAGCTCCTCCTGGTTAAAATGAAGCTCCTCCTTAAAGTACTTTCTTCAATTTTCTTCGCGAGCCCTTTCCCCAAACATACATCGAGATCTCTGCGGGACACCAGTAGATTTGTTGAGTGGAGATCGTAGATGCCGATCAGAGATCTTCCACACACAGCATCTCTCACAAAACTCAGAGATCTTTAACTGAAGATAGAGATCTTGAGCTGCCGCCATCGGCACCTCGAGATCTCAGGCCGGAGACGGAGATGTTGACTTCGCGCCAAAGGCGCCTCGAGAATCGTGTGGCCGACTGGAGATTGCAAAATGGCGCGAAAAGAGGGTGGAGATCCGCTTGAAGGTGTGAAAGGGAAAGAGCATCCCCTTGGAAGGACATCGATCCCCCCCCTGACACGCCTCCCCCACGAGATTGGAGATTGGAGATCGGAGATGAAGATCGGAGAACGCGCCTCCTTGTTATGAGCGCGCCGCGATGGAGCTCACCTCGTTAGTCTCTGGCATGACCGAGTTCGCCGCGAACCTGTATCCTCTAAAGACCGAGGAGGAGCTCGTGGCGCTCCTGAGCGGCATGCACCACTTCCCACCTGGCGTGCCTGAGCGTGCCCGTCGCGTCCATGGGCGGCTGCCCGCCGGGTCGGCACTCTGCTCCTCTGACGTCGGCGTGCTGATTGACCGGCTCGACACGGAGGGAGGCCTTGACGGGTTGTACAAGCATCTCGCGCACACCAAGGAGGAT